TTATTCAGGATTGACGTACTTAGATAAAAATACCACACTGAAGGCAATAGAAACTGTTATTAGAACACAAGAATGACGGGTCAAACAAAAATGATAATTATAACATCAGACGAGAATATTATTCGTCAATTTGCTTTTAATCAAAACACAAATACACATATTATTGATATGGATATTAATAATAGACAAATAATATCAATTGAAAAAAATGATAATAATAATACGATTAATTTGGATTTTGTTCCTGAATTAACTAGAAATGATCAAGTTTATAAGCGAACAATTGAAACTACCGATCATAATCAATCAAAAGCAGTTAAAACACGAAAGAAATCAACTGATCTGATTTGTACTATTTGTGGTGATCGTGCTATTGGATATAATTATGGGGTTCTTTCATGTGCATCATGTAAAGCTTTTTTTCATCGAAATAGTCATCAAGATTTGGTTAGTTAATACTTCGTTTATTTTGTTTGATTCGAATTATTTTTAGAAAAGATTCAAATGTTTAACGGATCATGGTCAATGCGTAATTGATTATAAAATAAGTCGAAAATGTTATCGATGTCGATTAAAACGATGTTTTGCTATGGGAATGCGAAAAGATTTAATTTTAAGTCAAGAAGAAATACAACGAAGAAAAAATTCTAGAAGAAATCGAAATGCTTCATCAACAATAGAATTGACAAATTCTGTACTAAATTCCGAATCTGTTTTACCAACATTTGATGAAATTGATCGCGTAAGTTCTTTCAATACTTATCAAAGTAATTTGATGTTCTATTTTAGCTATTCATGGAAATCAATCAAGATAATGATAATATTAATGTTCGTGAGAGTACTGATTCAACTGAACAGTTACAACCATTGAGTGTTCAAGATTTGGAAGTTATTAACAACATTCATTCATTATTTTTATCGATCGTTAACGAATGTGAAGATCTGACTAATTTTGATGATTCGTCCGATGAAACTTCTGAATTAATCTGTTGCTTACAATCTAATAATAAGATCGCTCTTCAAATTATTAAATTTTGTCGTTTAATTGATAGTTTCGAAAATCTGAATGCTGATGATCGTTTTATTATGATTAAATATAATCTTATTCTTCTCTTTTGTATCTCGATGTGTTACCAAGTCAAACAGACAAATGATTATTCTCCAGATAGAGAACACGAAAAAGCAGAAGAAAAGCGACAAATGTATATTTTATGCAATCAATCAGATTATATATATGAAATGGTTATAAATGTGGGTGTTATTTTTAATGATATTATTGAATCGGATGAAGTATTATTATCTCTTCTTCTCGTTATTATCCTATTCTCTAAAGGTTTATCCATGAATGAAAATGAACCAACACTTAAAGATTCATTAGCTATGTATCGAACTCAATCTTATTATACAAAACTATTGTGGAATTATATGATCAAAAAACAAGGTGAAACAGAAGCTTGTAAACATTTCACCAAATTGCTGGCAGCTATCTTTCGAGCTCAATCAGCAGCTGTGAGATTTCGAGAATTTCTTGGTAGTCAAGTGACAACATCAGATGCTGTCGATGACATTGCACCACTTATGCGAACTATTCTACATATTTCTTAATTTTATTCTGTATTTGTATAAAGGGTGAGCCGAAAGTTCTCGGACAAAATGTTTGTTCATTTTTTATTTTGGAAAGGCCTAAATAATTGGTTTGGACTGCGAACAAATAAGTTATTGCTAACCGTTATAAATCTCTTTGTAAAGCGAACACTTTTTTTACAAAATGTGATATCGATCTGAGCCGTAGATTTTTCTCTACAAGCTAATATATCAACAAAACATCCAACTTTGAGTTTAAGATTCTCGTAGTGGAAATACGAAACACTTTGTTCGAAAACTATCGACTCACCCGTTATTTATTGAATAAATGGGCTATTGTACAGAACTTTTATTAGACTATAGTGACGTTCTTAATTCAATATTAAAATAAAACTTGTTTTAAAAGTCAAAATTCCAGTAATGTAGAAATTGAATACTCGAAACATCTCTTCGAGTTCTACATGCATGGACATAGTTGCAGAACATGATATTCTGAACTTTTTATTTTCGAATCTTTTTACGTTTAAAACATCTTGAGGGTGGATGTGGGTAAGTGTGGGTGTGCATGTGCACAGAATAGAATACCCACACCAACACCCACCCGCACACCCTGGTTTTTTTATAAAGACGAACGGTGTGAGATAAAACTTTTTTGGATCTATGGGACCATTTTTTATCAAAAATATCGGCGTGAGACAGAACTGCTTTAAGCGTTTGGAACTATTTCGAAACCCACCATCGTTTTTTAAATTGTCTAGAACTTTTTCATGGTTTATTGTTAAAAGAACGAAACCTTAAAAGGTTCTAAATGCTCGCTAAAATCCTTAATGGCTCTCTATGGCGCGTTTTATTTTACAGAGTATGAATTCGATTTTTAGAGTTCTCAATGTAGTTTATTTTGATTAAAGGTTTTGAATTATGGCCAGCAGAATATTTTCTATTTCAATTCACTGAGCATCTTAATTATTCTATGAAAAACATCTGTCAAGTAAGTTTAGAATATTTATCCTGTTTCACGAAAAAATCTGCTCACATGAACTTATCGCTTTATATTATCACTTATTCATTGTGAACTATATTTCTTCAATAAGAAGGTTTTTCTTTTTCTTTTTCTTTTTTTCCTGTTTGTTGAACCGTTCTCTCAATTTTTATTCTGTATTTTTACAATTTTTTTTCTATCGTTGTGGTGCAATATCTTCATAATACCTATTATCAAGCAAAATCTGTATTTTTTAACGGTTTTTTGTCTTTAATTATAACGTAACATCTTCATAATACTTATTATAAAACAATATCACCATTTTCAAACTATAGTTTGATAAAGAAGAAAAAAAATTCGAAAGGCTTCCTATTACAATATTTTTTCCTTTCTTCTCTTTTGTTTGACAAAAAATAAAATTTAAAAATATTATTATTTCCTGTATTGATGAAAAACCTTATGTATATTTATTAATTCAGAATTATTCTTGTTGCCTTGAAAAATTCAAGAAGACGTTGGTGTTTTGTGTTTCTAGAATTCTCAGAGTTCATAGATTATATGAGTTTTCTAGTTGATTAAATGTTTCGGAATATTCTGGATGCCCTTTATTTTCTGGATTCTGAATGTAGATTTTATGTATTCTGTGTTTGTTATTTCTCATAGTGGTAATATGCAGGAAGAATTCAAGAGTTTTCTCACAAATTTAGATCTTATGGATTTAGAAAATGGAGAATAAAACAGAACATATCACAAGGATGTACAATATATTCAAAACTCTATAGAGTATTTGCATTAATTTTGCGAAACAAAATATATATAAGGAAAGTAAAGACGTCATATACGTTACTGTTAATTTTCTAACGGCATAGTAACGATGTTTTTCTTCCGACATCAGCGGATATTTGTTACCATTATTTTTTTTTAATACAAAGTTTTCTTTGACGAGATAATTTCCATTATTCTGATTATAACAGGCAAATATTGTTGCCCAGTGTATTTTCTTCTAACGATTCTTTCGGGGAAAAAAGCGAAATTATCTTCAAATAGCTTTTGTGTTGTACACATTTTAAATTATTACAGTATGAAACTAAAAAAAGAATAGACATCATTTTGTTGGACGGATATACTTAATTCGAAGAAAAATGTCTGATTATTTGTGAAGATGAAAAATTATGGAAGTTACTTGGAAATGCTGAAAAATAGTTTCGCTTAATTGATTTATTTCATAAAGTGTTGCTTACGTTGACATACACAATTAAATTTAATATAAAATAGTTTTATATTATAAACAAATCAAGTGATCATTGTTTCTACATAAAACAAGACCTTAAGATATACGTATTTTTATTTTCCGCCTGCACATAAACTACGCAAAAGAAAATCATCATACTAGATGCATGACTTGTTCAAAGTTAACCTCTACTACACAATCCTGACAAAAAAGTGCAAACTTTTTTTTCAATCATACTAATGAAATAAAAAAAATTGTCTTTCTGAATGTACTTTTTTCAAAGTGAAGCTCTAATACACATTCCTGACAAGACAAGGAAGTCATGACTAGTTTTCCATCGTACTGATTAAATAAAAAAATATCTATGATGTGTGAAAAGAAAGAGGCGTAGTTGTAATATGAAGAAATGGTTCCAGAATTATCTTATTAGTTTAGAACTTACGAATTTAGAGATTTATGAACAAAACAGAACATATCACAATAATATACAATATATTCAAAATTCAAAATAGTATATGCGTTAGTTTTTCTAAATAAAATGTATACAGAAAGTAAAGACATCATAAATGTTATTATTAATTTCCTAACGGTATAGTAACGATGATTTTCTTCCGACATCAGCGGAAACTTGTTACCATCCTTCTTTTTGTAACGGACAGTTTTCTTTGACGAGATAATTTCCATTATTCTGATTATAATAGGAAAAAGTCATGGCACAAAATGTACTTTTTTCCAATCTTTCTTTCGAAAAAAACTGAAACTATCTTCAGATAGTTTTTATGTTATGTACACATTTTATATTATAATAACGTAGAACTGAAGAAAAGAGAGATCAGATATCATTCTGTTGGATGGGATACATTTCATTCGAAGAAAAATGTCTGATTATTTGTGACAACAAAGAATTATTGATGTTACTTGAGGATGCTGAAACGTAGTTTCACTTAATTAATTTATTTCGTAAAGCGTTTCTTATATTGACATAAAGAATTAAATTTAATATAAAGTAGTTTCATATTATAAATAAATAAACTGATTTTATTCAGATAAAACACAATCGTCAGATATATGTATTTTTGTCCTCCGCCTGCACAGTAACTACGGAAAACAATCATCTTTCTGAATGCACTTTTTTTTGAAAGTCAAGCTCTGCTACACCTTCCTGACAAGACAAGGAAGTCATGACTAGTTTTCCATCGCACTGATGAATTTAAAAAAATGTCTATAATGTGTAGGAAAAAAAGAGAAAAAAATAGAAAGAGAGAAAAACTGAAAAGGTATTTACTACTATATCTTCACAATGTGTTTGATTTAAAGTTAAATTCATTTCTTAACTAACATTCTTGTTGGTTATGGCGAGCAGAAGAAATTCTCTATTTCTTCTGTTTCTTCTTGTTACACAATCTGGCACACAAGATATGCGATCACTACGCATGTCTACCAAAGCTGGTTGGCAATTTCAATGTTCTAACTCAAGTTGCTCACCATTGGCCGTTATTATTGTGTCGAATATCCGCCAGTGTCAAATGGCATGTTTAGCTGAAATCCATTGTAGAGCAATTAGTTTTTATAAATCATCGTCTAATTGTGAATTATTTGCTGATATATCAAACCAAAATGGCTATTTAGTCAGCAACATGGACACTATTACTATGATTGTTATGGATGGAACACGACTTCCACCTGGTAAGTACAACTACGATTACTTTGGCAAGATATATTGAAGAAAAAAACTCTTTTTTTTACATCTTGACGGTGGGGTGTGAGTGTGGATTTCCTTCAATTTTTACACCCATGTTCAGGATGTGGGTCTGGAGATTGAAGAAGATCCGGAACCATACCCATGTCTACAGCCACACCTACGCCCATATCTCTAATCTCGTTTGTCTAAAACAGAACCGACTACGACATCAACAACAACATCATCATCCACTACATCATCAACATCATCAACATCATCCACATCATCAACCACTTCATCATCAACTACATCAACAACCACAACTACTACTTCATCATCAACATCATCCACATCATCAACATCAACAACATCAACAACGACATCGTCATCAACATCAACAACATCATCAACCACTTCATCATCAACATCGTCAACAACATCAACAACAACAACCACAACTACTACTTCATCATCAACATCATCCACGACGTCAACAACATCAATAACAACAACAACAGCAGGTCAGTTATATGCTAGATAATGTGTTGTTCGTTTTTGTAGCTTTCAGATCGAGGATTACTTCCGCTAACCAAAAAACGTTTGAGATTTTACCGGTCAAATGTTTATCACTTCGATGAACAAATAATACTCGTCTGGATATTCGCTCAGTTGTCTCTTGTAGAAGCGTTATTTCTTGACGTAACAAATTGCAGTCATCACGCTGATGGTAGAGACTTCCGCTGCACGAGCCAACATGAAAAAAACTGACGTTGAATCAGACGTATCATTGACGATTAATTTTTTTAGAAAAAATTGTCAATAGCAAAATAGCACTAGAGTATAGTAGCATAACGAGGATTTTTTCAGCAAGGAGTAAGCCTCCTTCTTGTTACCTTTTCTTTGGTTACTCCTCACCAGCCCCAATTTAGTCTTCTCGACCTGCGTCCTTCATTTTTTCTCTCTAGATGGTTTTCGGTCAATCAGTAGGAAGCTGCACGGAGTCTATTACATGCTATACTAATAAACCAGACTAAGCACTAGCAGTTTTATGGATTGTGATTTGTGTTCTTCGATATTTACTGTACTAACTGACGTATGTGTCTAATTGAGTTGTTGTTTGAAGAGCAATCGAATCTGAAAAGTACTTCTATTTGTAGAGTAAGTATTGGAGAACACAACTTACAATAACTAAAACGTATAATACTCGGTTTGGTTTGATAGTACAACATTTAGTAAACTCTGATGTGATTGTGCTTTTAACTCCGTGGATACCTATGCCAAACACTGAAAAACAGACCAGCAATAATGGAAACAGATAGATTATTTTTGTTGAGCTGTTCTCGGCGAGAAGGAAAATACGATGTGGATATACAAATACTTGTAAAATACTTGAAAAGTAGAATTTCGAAGTTTGTAAAAATATTGTTGATTTATGTGACACAGGATTATCATATTGTTTATAGAATTCCATACTATAGTGCAATTAAAAGTAGAAATCATATATATGTTGCAATGAAATTCTGGACAAATGTACGGAATTCTGAATTTTGCTTGGAAGGTATTCTGCATCCTCTCAGTCGAGGATATCATGAAATTATCAAAGGGAGCACAAGTTTTAAGTAGGGTGAGATGACTTCGTTGGTTTTTCGAATTTATGAGAAAGTCTCACATAGAGATGGACTGAATGGCTGAAAACTGATTTTAGTTATGCTCTAGAATATCTGAAAGTGCTCAAAATTCAGTGGCAGGATCTTTTCGAATAAGGTATGCTTAATTAAGTTAAATTCTCAACAATTGAATAAAATACGACGATTGAATACTATATATATGCCAGTACAGGTGTGAGAACAAACTTTTTGTATTTAATAGTCTGCAATAATATGTTTCTTAATCAAACTACTTACCCAGTTGGTACTCAAACATATTCAGTAGCAGTCGCCGATGTGAATGGCGACAATACACCCGATATTATTGTTACCAGCATTACTTCGCATACCGTCGACGTTCTTCTCAACACAGGCAATGGCACCTTCAGTGCTCAGACTATTTACTCAGTTGGTTCTCAGCCACTGTCAGTAGCAGTTGGCGATGTGAATAGCGACAATAAACCTGATGTTATTGCTGTAAGCAGTGTTAGCCCGGGCAGCGTCAGTGTTCTTCTGAACACAGGTAACGGCACTTTTAATGCTCAAACTACTTACTCAGTTGGCGTTGGCCCTCAAGGAATAGTAGTCGTCGATGTGAATAGCGATAATAAATCCGATATTGTTGTTGCAAACCGTGCCGATGGCTCCGTCGGTGTCCTTCTCAACGCAGGCAGCGGCACTTTTAATGCTCAAGCTACTTACCCAGT